TCAGCAGCCTACTGAGTCACAGTGGTTCATGGACAGCGGGGCGACCTCTCATATGGCACCACACTCAAGTAATTTCAATTTTATTTTTAATCCTGGCAGTAATTTCCCCAAACATGTCGTCGTCGGTAATGGTTCCACCCTCTCCATAACCCACATAGGCCACACAATTCTTCCCACCACTCATTTCCGCCTCACAAATGTCTATGTCACACCCAATATCGTCAAACACCTTATCTCTGTTCGAAAGTTCACCCGCGATAACTCATGTTCGGTTGAATTTGACCCGTTTGGTTTTTCTATGAAGGATTTTCGGAGTCGAGTCGAGATTTTCAGGTGCAATAGCTCCGGTGACCTATATCCATTTGGCGTCCCTCCCCCCACCTCACCTCCCGCTGCTTTCCTCACTGTCGCAACACCTTCGTCTCGCACTCTTTGGCATCGGCGTCTAGGTCATCCCGGCAAACACGTCATGTCCCGTTTATTTTCTAGCACTTTTATTTCACATAATAAAGACCCTAGGGAGTCTCTTTGTAATGCCTGTCAATTAGGCAAACATTTTAGTCTACCATTTTTTTCTCAAAAATCTACTACTGTTGCTCCATTTCAAATTATTCATGCTGATTTATGGACTTCTCATGTTTCTAGTCTTACGGGTTTCAAATATTATCTTGTGTTAGTTGATGATTTTACCCATTATTTATGGACTTTTCCTCTTCGAAATAAATCTGACGTTTTTACAACCTTTGTCAATTTTCATACACTTCTCAAAACTCAATTCCAACATCCCCTGAAAGCCTTACAAAGTGATAATGGTCGTGAATTCAAAAATGCGGATTTTCAAAACTATTTCACTAAACACGGCATCCTAAATCGTTTTTCGTGTCCCCACACCTCTCCTCAAAATGGACACGCAGAACGAATGATCCACACTATAACTAACATGATTCGATCCCTCATCTTTTAAGCTCATCTTCCTCCTACTTATTGGGTCGAAGCCCTTCATATGGCCACACACTACTCAATATCTTACCTATCAAAACCACACAAAACCGGACTCCTCACGAAGCTCTTTACCTCATCAAACCTACATACTCTCATCTTCGAGTATTCGACTGTCTCTGTTATCCCAACCTCACCGCCACCACACCACATAAACTCGCCCCCAGTTCTACTCCTTGTGTCTATCTCGGTCACCCTTCCTCTCACAAAGGCTATCGTTGCCTTGATAGATCCACTGGCCGAATCATAATATCTCGTCATGTTACCTTCGACGAAACTCACTTTCCTTTTGCTGAGTCAACTCCCCCAAAAAACACACTTCCTACCTCTGCTTTGGACGAAAACACACCTTCCATGTTCCTCCTCCCTCAGACTTCGTCTAACTATTGCAACAGTTCCTCCAACTGTTCCAACAGTGAACCACCATGTTCCAACAGTTCGTCCAACAGTCCTATAACACAGTCAACACCTGTTTCACCTGCAGCACCACCTCTCGACCACGACCAGCTCACAACCTCTTCTCCTACTTCCACATCTCTTTCTCCTACTCCCACACATCCCCCACCCCCCCTGCTCACCCTATGGTGACTCGCAGTATAGTGGGCATCCACAAACCCAAAGTCCATTTTTCTCTCGTTGCGTCCTCTACCTCTTCCATTCCCACCAACTATCGCCAAGCTCTTCTTGACCAAAATTGGCGAAACGCCCTGATTGAGGAATATACCGCTTTAATTAAAAACAATACTTGAAATGTTGTGCCCCACCCCCCGTTTACTAATGTTATTTCTGGTAAGTGGATATACAAACAGAAACTCAAGTCTCATGGCTCCCTTGAGCGATACAAAGCACGGGGGTTGTTCGTGGGTTTCACCAGCAGGCTGGCATCGATTTTGACGAGACTTTTAGCCCAGTTGTCAAACCAGCCACTGTTCGAACAGTTCTTAGTATTGCTCTCTCGCGATCATGGCCAATCCACCAGCTGGATGTGAAAAATGACTTCTTACATGGCAATCTCTCTGAAACTGTCTACTGTGAGCAACCTCCCGGATTCGTCGATCCATCTCGCCCCACTCACGTGTGTCGTCTCAACAAAGCACTCTACGGTCTCAAGCAGGCACCACGTGCTTGGTACAAGCATTTTGCATCTCACATTACTACCATGGGGTTCAGAGAATGCAAGTCCGACACTTCACTCTTTGTGTGCTGTCGCAACAGTTCACGCGACTGTCGCAACAGTTCATACGCCTACCTTCTGATGTATGTCGATGACATTGTACTTACGGCCTCCACACTTGAATTGCTCCGCTCTATCATCGCTGCCCTTAATCAAGAGTTCGCAATGAAGGATCTTGGCGATCTTCACTACTTTCTCGGCATCTCAGTTACTCGCTCGTCGAATGGGCTATTTCTCTCTCAACGCAAGTACGCCGACGAGATACTAGAGCGTGCACACATGGCTTCTTGCAACCCTTGTCTTACGCCGGCTGACACAAAGAGCAAGTTGTCTTCGACCACTGGACCCCCCGTTGCTGACCCTACTCTTTATCGCAGCCTTGCCGGTGCACTGCAATACCTCATGTTTACTCGTCCCGACATCTGCTATGCTGTGCAACAAATATGTCTATTCATGCATGATCCGAGGGAACCTCATATGGCTGCTCTCAAGCGTATCTTTCGCTACATTCGTGGCACTCTCTATCACGGCCTTCAGCTCTCTCCCAATCCGGACCTCTCCCTTATCGCTTACTCCGACGCCGATTAGGGTGGCTGCCCTGACACTCGTCGCTCGACATCGGGCTATTGTGTTTTCCTCGGCAACAACCTCATATCTTGGTCCTCCAAACGACAGGTCACTACTTCTCGATCGAGTGCGGAGGCCAAATATCGAGCTGTCGCAAATGCCGTCGCCGAAACGACTTGGTTACGCAACCTAATTTCTGAGTTGCTATGCCCACTTTCGAAAGCCACTATTGTCTACTGTGACAACGTCAGTGCCGTCTACCTATCCAGCAATCCTATTCAACACTCTCGTACGAAACATGTGGATATCGATATCCACTTTGTCCGAGACAAAGTTGCTTTTGGACACGTTCGAGTTCTTCACGTCCCATTCGCCTACCAGTTTGCCGATATCTTAACGAAAGGACTCCCTACTCAACTGTTCCAACAGTTTGTCTCCAGTCTCCAAGTCCTCTCCTTTCCCGTTTCGACTGCGGGGGTGTATTAGCGTATATATTATATATATTACGTATATTATTATTATTCTTATTTATTATAGTTACCTTGTATAATAGGTTACTTTGTCTAGTAGGTTAGAGTTTCTTACATATAACTATATATATGATTAATATACGTGAGAGATATGATTCTCTCTTTTCTCCAAATCTATTTCTCATATACCGACGTCGTTGCGTTGTACGGTGGTGCTGTTGTGATCGGGGGAGGCGGCCTCATGCAGGAACCGCTAGAATGCCCACTCCAATGAGCTCCAATTCATCCCCACCATTTTCGACGAGGACGCAGCGACGGCAGCGGACGAAGATTGATTCTTGACAAAAGCACAAAGAAATAAGAGGAGAAGAAGATGATGATGGGGATGTCTGTATGTGTGTGGGTGTGTGAGAGAGAGAAAGAAAGAGAGAGAAAGGGAGAGAGAGAGAAAACAGGCCCCACAAAAATTTTGAGGTGAAATGACCAAAAAAACCCTTCCATTAAGCATGTACATCGCGTGCACCGGAAAATGAAAAGATTCACCGGAATATTTCCCTTAGGTGGTTATGTACGTAAAAAAACGGGCAAAGTCTAGGTGGCGAAATGCTATCTATCTATTGAAATTCAGATTTCTGCTATCTTCCTAAAATCTCGATGTGCAGATTTCGTTTCTCTTATTATTTATCATTCAAATTGAAACCTAGATAATTTTCTAAAAACCTAAAAGTGAATAAAGAAAAAAAAATCTCTGAAGCAGCATCATCAATTTGTTTGGGGGACAAAATTACAAATTCTAAAGAGGGTCACAGTTGAAAGAAGAAGAAGAAGAAGAAGAAGCGGGGAGGAGGGAGGACGCATAGACCAAATCAGTGGATTTTTCGGCCACTCCGCTTCCACCAACGCCACCATTTATGACCTCTTTAACCTCTTCCTTTGTGGAGAGATAAATCTTCAAACTCAATTCAATTAACAGTCCTCAGGCCCACGGACACACACACAAGGCTGAGAAGAAGAACAAACAACAGTTGATTTATGAAGAAATATAAAAAGTCGTAGTGGGGAAGAGTTTGGGATTTTTTTAGTAGCCGACGGGATGGTGGCTGATTTCTTTTATTTTTTCTTTTTCTTTTTTTAAATTTATTTTTAATGATTAGTTTATATTTTAATATATATATATATGTATATATATATATATATGATATAAGTGAAGGGACATATTTACCCCTGTAAATTTCACATGCAACGCACATGGTTTCCCATTCCGGTCAAAATTGCTGGAATATTCCTTTTAGGAGGCACCGTGCAATGAATTAACGAGTTTAGGTAAAAACATGCAATTTTTTTTTATTTGGGAGGCAAAGTGCGAAACGATTTTTAGTTTAGGGGGCAAGCTGCTTTTCACTCTTGTTATTATTATTTTTCTTTTCTGTTATGTATTAATCGACTATAAAGAATAATCGATTAAAGAAACTGCCTACTAAAATCACCCACTAAAATCGTAATTGAACAATGAAATCAATTTCGAAAGTAACAAACAACCACAAAAAAATGACTACAAAATCAAGGAAAACCAACGTTTTTTTATTATAGTGATTTATACAGATTGAATGGTGGACTTATAGTACCAGAACAAAAGGCCCACTATCATGCTCCAAGCGTAACATGCAGCAATACAAGGAATCAATAAAACAAAATCCAAAAATGAATAAAAAATTGTCCATAAATTAAACGAGTTTTCTATTGGGATACAATTAAAAAACAATCATGGTAACTGGTGAGCTGTCTTGGCATTTTTCAAACGTAAGCACCAACGTAGGCAGAGTAGGTACAAGAAAATGGAAACCGACCCGAGTAAGCAATCGAATCGCGCATTAAAAGAAGAAACGGGTCAAAATCAAAACCCGGTGATTCTGCAGAAAGAAAGAACCCCACGGAATGCACACAAAATCCCTCTTCTTTATATACGCAATCGGATGCCTCTGCTTCTGCATCATCTTCGCCCTAATTAATTTCTCAAACCCCCAAAAACAATTCTCCGGCGAGAAGAAACCGACCATGGCGGCGGCGGCGGCGGCGGTGGATAACAACAAGGTAATAAAGTCAATGAAAGACACCTTCTACATATCCCACGGCTCACCGACGCTTTCAATAGACGATTCCCTCCCCGCACGCCACTTCCTCAAATCGTTCCGGCAGAAGGTTCTGCCGGAGAAACCTAAAGCAATCCTCATAATCTCCGGCCACTGGGAAACCTCCGAACCCTCGGTCAACGCCGTTACCGGACCCAGCGAAACCATATACGACTTCTACGGGTTTCCGGATCGGATGTACCGGCTGAAATACCCGGCTCCGGGAGCACCGGAATTGGCTAACCGGGTTAAGCAGCTGCTGATCGGATCCGGATTCGGATCTGTCCACGTGGACAAAAAACGCGGGCTGGACCACGGCGCGTGGGTACCGCTCATGCTGATGTACCCGGACGCGGATATCCCGGTGTGCCAGCTGTCCGTCCAGACGCAGAAGGACGCCGCGCACCATTACCGTTTAGGGCAGGCGCTGGCGCCGCTGAAGGACGACGGCGTTCTGATCGTCGGATCCGGCGCCGCCACGCACAACCTGAGGAAGCTCGACCGCGGCAGCGGCGATGCGGTGGCGCCGTGGGCGGACGAGTTCGACACGTGGATCAAGGATGCGCTGCTCGAAGGGCGGTACGACGATGTGAACGACTACGAGAAGAAAGCGCCGCACGCGAAGGTGGCGCACCCGTGGCCCGACCACTTCTACCCGCTCCACGTTGCCATGGGCGCCGCCGGCGAAAACACCAGAGGTGAGCTCGTCCACCATAGCTGGAGCCTTGGGACGCTCTCCTATGCTTCGTACAAGTTCACCGAAAAGCCCTAAATTTTAGGGCTTTTTGATTTTTTTCTGATTGATTTGCTGATTTCGTTCATGAATCTATCTTGTTTGTATCTGTAATCCATTTATTCCACATGAAATTTGAGTTAATATATATTTGTAATTTTTCCAAAGTTTAAATTGTGCAATGGCATATTTGGTACCGGTTTAAAATCTACCGTAAAATTCGATGGGCTCGGTTCCAAGTGTCGAACTAGCCAAGTATATTATTATGAAACAAAAAAATGATCGTAGTCTATTTTTCAAAAGCTTCTGCAAAATTAGCAATTTCCGTAAAATTATGTAAGTGTTCAATTTCGAATATAAGAAAATTAAATAAGATGCCGAAGAGTGTTTTAACATTCAAATCGAGTTCTTATCGAACCAACGTCTTAGAACGAGTGGAATCGTGGTATGGAAAAATGTTGGGAATTCAAGCATTTTTTTTATGAGTGTTTCAAATGTCATTTAAAGGCCATTTAAAATAAATAAATTACAGCTCTTAAATGATGTGAATTTATCGATTAAGGTCCAATTACTTATTCAAATTTCAAACGTAGAAAATGAGGTTTAATGAGCTCAAATGCACTAAGATAGTAAAATCTCAAGAGTCGAATCGATATTACACATTTACACTTGATGAATCAAATAGCAAGCATACGAAAAATGGTTTAGTGAGGCCAATTGCAATAAGATAATAAATTTTTAAAAGTCCAAATTGATGTTGTGCTACTAACTTTGGGTAGATAGAACGGGAATACGATGGTAGGTAACTGCACGCGAGTAGGTGATTGGGGTCGGAGTACCTGTCGGATGGGCTTGTAAATCTTATTAATTGAATTGAGTCATTAGTTGATGACCTCGTACATGGATCAAACCTTTTAGATAAGTCAAATACTTATTTGTTTATTGGGCCCGTCCAATAAAGAATATCACAAATCTATGTTACATCTGATACATATACACCGAGTAGATTTTTATGGATCACATATACACAAGATCCCATAGTATGGATTACTCAGAGGGTGTTTGGCTAAGCTTATTTTAAACAGCTGATAAGCTCTTACGTCTGATAAGATGTTTTAAGAGCTGATAAGCTGTTATATCTTATTTTTACGATTAATTTTTAGAGTGTTTGGATAATGAGCTTATTTCCTATTTTTACCCATTAAAAGATCTTAAATAAAAAGGTGGGGTAGAGGTACTTATTTAAAAAGATCTTATTTGCTCTCCAACAGCTTATTTAAAAAAAAAAATTAAGATCTTTTTCTAAAAATTTACCAAACACTGTGGAAGAGCTTCTAAAACATCTTATAGGCTCCTTTTAACATCTTATAAGCTTAGCCAAACACCCTCTTAATATTTCAAAAGTAATTTCTCAAAAAACCAATTAAATTTGTTCAAAATGTTTCAAGTCAACGGTAGTCAAAATGACTAAAGAAAAGGTGAAATAAAAGGGGAAAAAACAAGTGGTAATTATACAAAACTCATGAGGACAAAACAGTCAATTGGAAAGGAGCCAGTGAGAAAAAGGAGTAACGCGTAGGCGCACTAGGGCAAAAGATGGAAACGCAATTCCGCGGCTAATTGTCTATTTTCATCCGTTGGATCTCATCTAATCCAACGGCTGAAATAAAACCCTAATCACACACCCTCCATACTCGAAACCCCCTTCTATAAAGCTTTTCTCGGCTACACAATTTTTCTTTACGTTCTACTCAGAAATCACACTCTCTTTCTGCAAATCGGCGGCGAAAGAGATCAATCCTCTTCTCTCTAAGGTAGCCTCCTCTCTGTATGTATCTATGTATCTATAATTGTGTGTATGTTATTCAGCTGATCTTTCTCTCTGTATGCATGTGTGTGTATATCTTCGTAGCTTCTGTATTCATGTATGAAATTGATGTATGCTTATTTTCTGTATGTTGTTTAAATGTTTATCCACGTATGAAGCGTATTGATTTATTCTAGAGATTATTTTCTTTTTAAATTACAGATCTGTATAGATTTGCGATGAATTGTGTTTTCGAGCATGATATCATAATTTATGTTTTTATGTAAACAGATGTTCTTATCTTATGATGTGTATCTGTTGGATTTGATATCAGAATATGAATTAGTCATTTTATGTATTCATATGTTCTGACAGTATCAAATATATGAGTTGGTTTTGATGTCAAATCTACGATTAAATTTGAATTAGTGGAAAATTAATGATTTACTGGATCGAAATATTTGTGTTGCTTGTACTGTTGAATTTACTGTATTAGATCTGTGTGTTTTTTGATTTTGTTTGTTGCATGCTTGTTGACTGGATTAATTGATATTAATTTTAATTAAAATCATGGTTAAGGAATTTTTAATTTTTAATTGACTTCTGCAATTGCTAGTCTGAATAGTGTTTATTCTGTTGCTGCAGTACAGTTTTCAAGGTTCAACATGGGTAAAGAAAAGTTTCACATCAACATTGTCGTCATTGGACATGTCGACTCCGGGAAATCGACCACCACTGGTCACTTGATCTACAAGCTAGGTGGTATTGACAAGCGTGTGATCGAGAGGTTCGAGAAGGAGGCTGCTGAGATGAACAAGAGGTCCTTCAAGTACGCATGGGTTTTGGACAAGCTTAAGGCCGAGCGTGAGCGTGGTATCACCATTGATATTGCCTTGTGGAAGTTTGAGACCACGAAGTACTACTGCACAGTCATCGATGCCCCTGGACATCGTGATTTCATCAAGAACATGATTACTGGTACCTCACAGGCTGACTGTGCTGTCCTCATCATTGACTCCACCACTGGTGGTTTTGAGGCTGGTATTTCCAAGGATGGTCAGACTCGTGAGCATGCTCTTCTTGCTTTCACTCTTGGAGTGAAGCAGATGATCTGTTGTTGTAACAAGGTATAGTGTTTTATATACTTCCTTGTACATTGTGCTTTTTCTTGCTTATCTCTTATTATATTTTAATGTCTAATAATTTTGTTTCATTGTTGTGTGCAGATGGATGCCACCACCCCCAAGTACTCCAAGGGTAGGTACGAGGAAATCGTGAAGGAGGTGTCTTCATACCTCAAGAAGGTTGGATACAACCCCGACAAAATCCCATTCGTTCCCATCTCTGGTTTCGAGGGAGACAACATGATTGAGAGGTCAACCAACCTCGACTGGTACAAGGGCCCAACTCTTCTTGAGGCTCTTGACTTAATCTCTGAGCCAAAGAGGCCCTCGGACAAGCCACTCCGTCTCCCACTTCACGATGTCTACAAGATTGGTGGTATTGGAACGGTGCCCGTCGGTCGTGTTGAGACTGGTCTGATCAAGCCTGGTATGCTCGTCACTTTCGGACCAACTGGTCTGACCACTGAGGTTAAGTCCGTTGAGATGGCACCACGAGTCTATGCCCGAGGCTCTCCCCGGAGACAATGTTGGGTTCAATGTGAAGAATGTTGCAGTCAAGGATCTCAAGCGTGGGTTCGTTGCATCGAACTCAAAGGATGACCCTGCTAAGGAAGCTGCCAACTTCACTTCCCAGGTCATCATCATGAACCACCCTGGTCAGATTGGAAACGGTTATGCACCAGTGCTCGACTGTCACACATCCCACATTGCTGTCAAGTTCAGGGAAATCTTGACCAAGATTGACAGGCGATCGGGTAAGGAGATTGAGAAGGAGCCCAAGTTCCTCAAGAATGGTGATGCCGGTATGGTTAACATGATTCCGACCAAGCCCATGGTGGTTGAGACTTTCTCAGAGTACCCTCCTTTGGGTCGTTTTGCCGTTCGTGACATGCGTCAGACAGTTGCTGTTGGTGTTATCAAGAGCGTTGAGAAGAAGGACCCATCAGGCGCAAAAGTTACCAAGGCTGCTGCCAAGAAGGGAGCCAAGTGAAGAGGATGTGTTTCGATTTTGGTTTTCATCTTTAGTTTTTGTTTTTGGTATTTATTATGGACAATTTTTTACTTTTTGTATGGTCTGCATAAGTTTGTTGTCACGTCATCTAGCCTCATTTATGAGGATAGTAGAGTATTAAGCAATATGGTTTAACCTTATTGCTTGATGGGCGTGGTGATAATCTTTGTGTATACCCTCCAATCGTTTTTTACTTTTGAGTTTATGATGAGTTTCAGACATTGGTTGCTTTAAAAATCTTCGTATTTCTGTTCGTTTCTACTTTTGTTTGTCTTTTTTCTTGATTTTGCTTCATAGCTTAGTAGAATATATCTTCTTCATATCACAATTTCATAGAAGATTATTAACTAAACTTGCAGTTACATTAATTTTCAGAGGGAATTTAGTTCTGTCTTCTTAATATCAGAAGTTCATGGAAAATTATTAACTTAAGTTTAAATTAAATTAAATTAATTTTCAGAGGGAATTTAGTTGTTTTCTTGATTTTCTGCTCTACAATAAACCCATGGTTAATGCCTAATGGTGGATCATCGCACAGGTGTATATACTATTATGCTAAAGATGAATGTATTTATATTATAGAACTGAAGCATAAAAATCATATTCTGAAAGCCAAAAATTGATCCAACGAGGGAAAGCAAGTTCCGTACGATTTAATCTCAATCTATCTTGGAAAAAAAAAGCTATTGTATATTTCTTGATTGATGAGTACATATCGTAGCAGCATAAATGGAGCTTTAGCTGCAGAACGTGAAGACCTACAGTAAGTAATTTTAAACCTGCAAATTATCATTTGACAGACAGTTTGAAATACGTAATAAGAAAACAAAGATTAAATTAGTATCAGAAAATGTATTGGAGGCCATAGTTACCTGAAAGAACAGTTAGAGCTCGGCATCGTCGTCAAGTTGTGCTTTTGCGGCTGCTTTTTCTGTTTCTTGCACAGCAAATGCTTTGAGTAATTCAACCTTCCTCGTTCCTGTGACATTGACATTTCAGTTTTGCTAGAGCAAGTTAGGGGTAATATAGTCAAATAACATTTAAAAGAACTCAAGAACAACATAGACAACATTCAATCAACACAGCCATGCACGGAAAGAAGACGAACAATTGACGGTCGCAGAAAATGTAACCCAACCATATATATCTGATCAAATTAATGAAATGTAAATGTAAATCATGTACATGACAAAAGAACGAAACAGTTTGCAGATTTGTATGATAATTAGTTCCCAAACAACTACCCTACTTATTTCTCACTCTCTTTTTCCGGGGGGTTGTACTACATATTTAATGATTTCACTTGCCTGTAGAGCTTAATTAATATAAGGAGTTGCAATTCATACATATCACTGCAAAAATCTCTTAATTCGTATACGGCTAAACATTATGACATGGGATGCTACTTGCTAGGGACATTTATTTAAATCTAAAGTTGCAAAATCTCGAGTACATTTGACGTTTTAAAATCGCAGAACGAGAAGTTGATATAACTGATATCTGAATACTCACAAAGCATCCATGATTTGTGTAGGTTTTTAAGGGTTCTTGAATCTCCGATGGTGGGGTGTGGGGACACACACATTGGAAGAAGAACACAAATACATATGCATCACAAAAGTTCCAAGCCAACTAGTGCATATAGATAACAACTTGTGGTGCAAGTTTCACGCTTCACACAATAAATTTACGGTTAAGCATGAGCCAAGCTAAACTTAGTTAAGAGCACATAGTTCAGACAGATGAACAGAAGGACGCTTACCGTTGTACACTGTAACTTCTTCTCCATTGTAGAATAACTTGAAAGTCGGATACGAATGAATATCTACTTTAGAACACACTGGTTTACTCGTTGAACAGTCAACTTCTCCAATCTCAATTTCATCCTCACCTTCCATCTCCTTCCCCAATTCTTCCCATACCGTCCCCAAGTTTTTGCTGAATAAACAAATTTTCAACTGTTATTAAGCTAACAATCACTTGTATTTGAGCGCCGAAACAAAAGATCGTTTTAAACAGGGAAAAGAAGTTACCAGTGCTTGCACCAAGGAAGGCAGAACTTAACGAACCACGCTGTATCTTTCTCTTGTACCTAATAAACCATAAACGTAAAAAAATCTTGAACAATACATAGAGGTTTTAAAGTGATTGAGGCAATCAACAATTTCTCCACAAGTTTTCTTTTACAGAAGCGGTTGCATTCGTTATGCTTCCGATGAAATCGAGATTAGCAGAAGAGAATACCCGAGTAGGACAAAACAAACATTGCGACGACAATGACAAAAAGGGATAAAGATTTGATTTTTACATAGAAACAAAAACTGCAATAACAGTAAAGCATCTGAGAACAAAGATCTTACTATTATATCAAACACAATTCAAATCGATTAGATAGCAAACCATAAAAAAATGGCAAATTAAACAGATAAACAGAAGCATCAAAATTCATCAAAAAAAAAAAAAAACCCAATTAAATGCTCCGACCGCAACCCATATCAGAAATTGAATCGAAATAGCACCATATCAGAAATTGAATCGAAATAGCGTAACTATAAACTTAAAAGGCGCGATCTATGAGACAATTATAAAAATAAATAAGAAAAATTACCTTGTCGCTAAAAGTTTCAGTTGTCAATGTTATGACTTCAGCTTTTACGGAACGATTGCTTAACGGAGTGAACAGAAGAATGGAGGATAGAAATAATAGTAGGACGGAGGCAGAGAGAGTAGTGAAACGGCGCCGCATTGTGACCGGAAGTAACTGCCGATGAACTCGCCGGTGGTGTTTTTCTGAGCTGATGAGAAGAGCCCTAAATCTTTGTGTTTGGATACTTTGATTGGAGATCTCAAAACCAACTGATGTATTTACATTAATACCTCTATTGGTTTTTATTAAAAAAGAAAAGAAAATATAATTATTTTAGATATTTAATAAAAATAAAAATAAAAATAAAATTGATTTGAAAATACGTATAGGTGGTGCTTGCAATATCTGAAATAATTAATCTATCTTATTAGTTTTATTTCCACCAAATTTTTATCAACTAATAAAAAATAATAAGAATAAAAATTTAAAAATAATAAATTAATACATTATTGAAATTCTGAAAGAAAAAAAAAATTATATAACAAAAAATATAT